GATTCATCGGATTGTCGGCATCGATACAAAGCGATTATTATTTACACCCCTAATTTAAATGAAGTGATAAAGTTTTCCATCTTCTATGAATCTACGATCACCAGCAACACAATACTTAAATGCAACAAACTGCTACTTATTATTATTATCTCAAGTCGTTTGTTTCCAGGCAGCTTGTGGGTGTTGGGTTTATCACAACAGCCATGTCAGACATGTTTACTAAAAATAGACGATCAGCAAAAGCATATATTTATATTTTCTGTTTTATTTAATCAGTGGATAAGTTGACCAAAGATTGATTTCAAAATTCCCCTAAAGAACACCACAGCAATTTAACTGCACTAATCTCGGCGGCAACGAGAGCCGTCATCATCGATCTAGTAGTGAACGACACTCAGAGGGGCAGACTGATCAAGCTTTCTGCCTGTAGTCAATCTTGGTGTAATTTTGGAGCTGTCAGTCTCGGTTACTGAAATGCTCTGGTTGCAGCTGTCTGAGCGGATTTCTGTTTTAAGAGTACGGACACAGACTGAGATACTTTTACATTTGTTGATTTTTAAATTGGACCGTGCTGTCCACGACTGCAATCAGGAGTGGAGAAACGCAGTTTTTTATGTTAGCAATACCATTTACCCTTCTTCCATAACTCACACATGGAGCAGTGGGTTTCAGCTGTCAAAACAAATACATTTCTCATCTTTTTCTAATTAGAAACATGATAAATTGTCCATAACTCACCAGCAGTGAAGTCGTTGTTGAGGTCAATGAAGGCATTAGAGTGAGGCGTTCGCATTGTGACTGATGATGTAAGAGCTTCGTGACACTTTTGAATCCTACAGAGGAAATAAAACATATTTCTATATTAACTTAATAAATTAGTGACCGGCAGCTATAGAGCTTAATTTAGTAAATCTGTTTTGTTTTTTTCTTTAAAATTGAATACTTCACCTGTCGCTGAGGTAACAGATTTCAGTTTTGGGTGGGTTAGTCACCCCAAAAACATCCGGAATCATGTCCCCGTTGAAACTTTGCAGGAGAAAAGAAAAACAGAAAGAGAAAAGCCATAAGGTACATTAATATTGATTTTTTTTCTGCAACATTATTCCTTTTCCTTTTTAATACATTAACACTTACTCCATAACGAGAGGCTGATCTTTCATGGTAATATTCATGGCCAGGAAGCCAGCAGTGTCTGCAAACAACAACATAGAAAACATGTTCTGGATTACAAAGGTCTACAGAAATGCAGCAAAGAACGTCAGCCGAAGGGTTAAACACAATGAAAATATGTTATTCTTTTGAAAAACAATCTAAAAATAAGTAAATATTTCTTAAATTAAGTGTATTTGAGTCGGTAAACGAGGTAGTTTGCCAATGGAATGAGTATTTTTACACTTAAAATGAGATAATTAGATAATATGCACTCGAAATAAGACTTATTTCGATATTTTCCGGTGTAGAACGGTCAAATCTAAATAAAATAACAGTCACTTTTTTCTTATCTATTCCTCTCCTGTTTTTTGAATGCCAATATAAAGCATCCAAACACACTATGAGTTTTGAATTAAGCCAGATCATTACATTGAAATCATTTTTAAATGAAGATTGTGGCGGATGATCCTCCCACCACCACATCGTGTTAGTATTTTTTTTCTTGCTTTATATTATATAACAATTTATGTTTAAGTTGGTTATTTCTTTTAGACAGGTATTTTCTAATGGCTGCACACTTTAGTTAATGTCTGTCTGAATGGTTTATTTATTTAGAATTGTTCTTTTGTTTGAGGTGCTGCTGATGCAAACCAGCTGGAGGAGGAAACCTGGAGCGTACCATTTTTGAAAGACTGACGGGGGAGACTTGTTTCAAGTTGTTTTCAATTAGTTTGTCACTTAAATACTCACTTATTGTTTCTGCTAAGTAAAAGTTAGTTTTGCTTTATTTGTTCCATAGAATGGTTAATTTTGTATTTATTGGTTCTTTTGTTATGTTGTGCCTTCCTCCCCTGTCGACTTGGGTTACTCCATCCCTTTTTAAGCAGCCTTTAGTTCTTTGTTGGCAGGTCAGTTTTTTTTTTTTGTTTGAGTTGGATCCTCAGTTGACCTCAGTTAAGTTGGGCCCAGATTCATGTTATTTTGTATTTAAGTTATTTTGTATTGTTTTGAGCCTTTTTTTAAACCATTTTTGACACAATTAAATGAAAACACTTTTTCAATTTTTTAACACCTTTTGTCCTTATTTAAAGCTGAAGTCTGTAAGTTTTTAAAAATCACTTTTTTGTCATATTGGCTAAAACTGTCCCTATGCCCAGACAG